TGCCTGAAACCACAATACGTTTTGATGTGGAGTTGCTAAAATTAACAAATGGCATGTCTGCCGGGCTTCACCATATCACAGTACTGCTCCACTTTGCCAATCACACAGTATGCAAAAATAGCTTCAAAAGTTTCCCATGCTTATTCGTCGGCAGCTATTCAAATTTGTAATCTGTCAAAACAGTAGGGTGCATCTAAACCGCATTGTGACGTTCTTGATATTAAACACTTGACCTCCAATTCTAGCTTAAACCTCTCCCTCCACATCGACGCCTTCGTTAGCAGATAATCGTGATCTGATGATCTGCGTGATCCCACGACTAACAAACAACTAGAAGAACGTCATTTTACTACTTATTTCGCAGGAATAATCTCCAATCTAGTTCTGGAAAACGTTTTAAAAACCCAGTTCCTGTACGCTAAACTTTTGAAATGGCCGCTGCTACCAGCAAGCATTAGCGCAATGGAAGTGGCTCTGCGTCTATCTCTACACTCAAATACAGTAGACATTTATCACAGATCACATGATGAGCAGCATATGAATAATAAAAAAAAGGAGATTACTGGTATCCGAGTCGGCGGACTGCATGGAAAGTGTAGCCGGGGTAAATGGTGAAGAGCGCGGAACTGCCGCACGCCAGACAAACAAGTCGAGCTTCTCTCCTATCGCTTGTCTCGTCCAAACATGCCCTGACATGGCTAAGTCAGATATCAATCGTATTGCAGTACAGGATGCGCATGCTTTTACACGGTGAAACCTACGGTTTTGATAGTTGTGGAAGGCAGTGGTTTGGTAGACTAAAGGTAGTGTCAATGGGAGTACATACAGATTTGGAGGCGTGCTTTAGATACCCGATGATCTCTCGGACGAGAAGGTGCCAGACAGTCGGATACGCTGTGATTGATCAAGTTCAGCACAGTCGGGCCCAACGCCAGGCGTATCTCAAGCCTCGCCCGCTTCTCGCTCCTACGACGGCTACGCCATGCTGCAACCGCTATTCTCTGCGCCGTCGAGTAACCGTAATTTCATGTCTCGTAGTCAGAAAACTTAGTGCAGTGCAAACTAAGGTTTATGGCAAAAAGAGTACAAATGGATGCTTTAATGTTCTCAGAACTCCTATAAGAGAATTCATAGTATTTTCACATTACTTTCAGAAATTCAAGCATAAACACCATTTTCCCGATAACTTTTCCTAACTTTAATGTTAATCATAATAGGGTAGAATGATTAAAACCAGAGAAGAGTAGCGGTTCCCTGGAGCCTCGAGGACAAGCTGTGCTAGGTCATCGAACATCTTTTCATGATACGAGTATCGATAT